TTAAATTTGTTTATCTAATTCACTCTTAACCCTTCTGTTTCATTATTCAACACAAACACGCATGCACAAACATTTACACACACACACACACACACACACACTCACACACACACACACACACACACACACACATGTGCGCGAGCGGTCATGAAGACGGCTACATAAACAAATATAACAATAAACTGACCGACTGTTGAATATTCGCAGCTGTAACCTTTGGGTCATAAAGTGTTGAGAACACGTTCTTCTGTTTTGCACAATTTGTGCTTTTATTTGTCCTTCAGTTGTTGTTTGTTTGTTCTACAACAACGGTTCACAGTTACCACAAACGTCTACTCCCCCCTTTTTTCACTTTAAAAAAATGAGCCATCTGCCTCAATGTCACGAATCAATTTTTTTAAAATAACATGCTCTCGCTTATTCATATATCCCATTCTTGTATAACGTATTATAACCGTTTATATGTATACATATCCCTTCTTTGTATGACATAATATCGATTATTTATTACATCCTTTACTTGAATGAAATACTTCAGTTTATTTATACTTTCTATTCTCTTATAACATATATTTATAATTATATCCCTCTCTTGTTCCACATACTATTGGCTGTTCATAACCTCTTTCTTGCATAACTTACCATTATTTATTCAAATAATTCATAATACGAGTATAGCTGCTCTTTTGCCTTTGTTCTATGTCTTCATTATGTGATTGTTGCTGTCTTTCATGACACAGTTTGAGAGAAAAATCTGTGCCCGTTCGCCTTTTAGCGTACGGTTTAGTAGGGACATGCATCAGACCAATTATCATAAATGAATGTGTCTGCAAGTGCGTGTTCTATTCATATTCATTGGGCACCAACCGCCCATATTTTGGGGACACCACTCCCGTCTTCCCCAGCTAATGAGCCGTGAAGATTCATGTTCATTGGCTGACAAGTCGACTCCAGGTCCAAATTGTGAGAAAATACACCCCCACCAACCGCAAAAAGGATGGGATTTATTCAGGAACTACCGCCTCCACCAATCAGAGAGGAGTTCTCACCTCGTGCCTGACACGCGTGGACATGCGCAGCAGCGACCGGAACCGCGACGGACGTGCACGATTGAATTTCCTCGGTGGCGCGAGAAGCAACACACGCGCACAGTCCAAACAAATGATTAGCTAGGCGTGACTCCCGCGCGCCCCGCGCACACACCCGGCCCTGCCCCCTCGCCTTTATTGCCTCTCTGGCTCTCTCTCTCTCTCTCTCTCTCTCTCAAGAAAAGCCGAAAAAGGAAAATATTGAAAATAAAAAGCGCGCCTCGTTCACCCTCCACTCCCCTCTTTTCTCAAGTCGATCTACACTGCCCCTCCCCCACCCACCCCTCCTTTTTCCCCACTCACCTCCATTCCGTAGACCCCCGCCCCATCCGCCACACATCCTCTAACCCTCTCGTCTTTTCATTCGTTCCTTCTCCCCAGCCGTTCGCGCCCTACACCCCTCCCCTTTTTGTAAAATAATTTTGTCATCATCACCACCACCAACCCACCCAATACAATTTTTTTTTCTTCTAAATTTTATTGCTCTCTCTCTCTCTCTCTCTCTCTCTCTCTCTCTCTCTCTCTCTCTTTCTCTCTCTCTCTCTCTCTCTTCCTCCCATCTTAACACCCCCACCGCCACAAGCCCCCACCCCTCCCACCTCATCACATCGTACATTCGCGACAGCTCTTGCCCCATCTTTGACGTCGAGGGCCCCCAAAATTAGCGAATGGGGTTAGGACAAGCGAATCGATGGAGCCAATTTAATTGGCACCCGTCCCCGCCGGAGACTTTTCCCTCCTCCCCCCACTCTAAAGTCTTTTGTTGTTTCACGGCCGTCAGCGACCAAGGGCCGACCCAGAGACATCAGATAGCGGCGTATAAAAGGATGTCGCGATGTCCTTCCTCACTACTAGGTCTCGACCTCTGTCTGGCAGGGGTCTCGTAGATGAGAACTTCTATGATCAACCATCCTGGATCGACATCAGAGAGACAGTTTCATCGTGACGCCCGACATTAATTGTGAGAATCACTGTATCAGGTCGAACGACTTAGCAAAGTTTATGAAGCATAAGATTGTTTTACTTTGAACCTGTAAAATAGACACAGTTTACTTCTTCATTCGGATTTCAGTGCTTCCAAGAACTTTATTTCGAAGACGCAACCAGATCAGATTGTCATATAACCTTCCATTTGACGTTGCTAGAAGAATGGAACTTTGAGTCGCTTGTGATATTGTTCAGAACTTGTTTACCTTCTACACCGTGTGAGATCGGCATCTTCACTTTCAAGTCTAGGATGAATCTACGTAGGTAGAACGTAGACTAAAAATACAAATCTACAATCCAACAGTTTTATTTCTAAGATTTGTTTTGTTTGTTACGGATCTTTCTCTGGTGCCTCTTGCGAAAAGCTCTTCATCAAAATGTCACGGTCTTTCTACGTAGACTCGCTCATAGTGAAAAAACCTGCAGTGTCCCGACAAGGTTCCTCCCCTCTCTCCGCCCCTGCACCCCACGCCTCCACCGTCTTGGGGTCCCACCACGCCGCCCTACTTGCCCGCGCCCACTCAGCCTCCCTTCACCCCTCATCCCCCCACCACCCTCACCACAGCATGCCCACCCCGGGTATCGCCTGCTATTCCAGACACCCTGCAGAACTTCTGGGAGCCCTGTGCTGCCCCTTGTGTGTCCACGCCCCCACCCCTAACCCTACCGGACTCACCCCTCACAGCTTCGCTGCGGCTGCTGCTGTGGCCGCTGCTCACAGCATGACGTCATCTAGTCCAGTGCTGACGTCACACCCGTCCTCACCCGTTATGCAGACCCATCACAGACTACAAATGACCGGCTCCGTGTCACCTCCCACTCTGACATCACCGTACCCCCACAGCCACCCGTACCCCCGGCCAGAGGTCACAACCCCGAGGCTGGATTCCTCACCGGGTGGGGGTCAGGGTAGACAACCCACAGACCACAGGGTGTCTCCACCAGGTTACTCCCCCTCCCCACCCAGCGGCGACCTCCCCAGGAAGAGAGTCAAGTGTTCAGAGCCCAGTAAGTAGTTTATCTATCTATCTATCCATCTATCTATCTATCTATCTATCTATCTATCTATCTATCTATCTATCTATCTATCCATCCATCTATCTATCTATCTATCTATCCAGATTGTTTTAGTAATTTGATAAACGAAAATATTATGTACATAGATTATAGTATAAGTATTTATACACATAGATAAATGGATAATATTTTGTACGTAAATAAATTGAGTATATTATGTACCTAGACAAATTGATAATATTATCATGTCTGTAAAAATTTCCTAACAAATGAAAGGACACACACCCAAATCCCTCGCCCCCCCCCCCCCCTTCCCCATTTCACCTGGTTCACACAAAAAACGAAAACATACTCTCTCTCTCTCTCTCTCTCTCTCTCTCTCTCTCTCTCTCTCTCTACTACACTATCCCACGCTCCCTCTCGCCCCTCCCCATCTTATATCTCTCTCTCTCGATCTCTATCTATTTCACATATACACACACGCACACGCGCGGGCGCCCGCGCACTTACACAACAACAAACAAAAAACACGCCACATAATAAGTGGATGGTGTTTGGGTGCTCTGGTGTGGTTTCATCCTTTTCTCCCTATCAAACACCTATCGTCTTTATCTCTTCTCCTTATTTTCTCTTTGTATTTCATTCCCTAGTAACACCTCTGATATTTGGTACTTATATAATCTGATTGTATTGAAAATGCCGTAAAATTTTTACTAAAACTAAACCAAACGGAACATAAAAGCTCATAAAACAGACAATATTCTTGTATAGTAAAAAGAGTAATCATAATAGGGTAAAGCAAAGAATACAATGTTCAAAAAATATTAAAGGCCGATGTTTGCTAATGCGGCTGCTCGGACATATTAGGCCCACTACGTTTTTATTGAAGAGTTGATAAATTATTTAAAAGCACCGGCTATCTGGCTAGGCACTATTTAGCCATATTGATAGCAGGCAACATTGTCTATCAGACTGACACCGTTTTAACCACCCTAAAGAACTTCCTGAGTATTAGTCTGTGCTATCTGCTTTGTCTATTCATCTTCAAGGAAAGTCTAGACAAAGAGGCCCAGATGTAGATTGTCGACTCAGATGTACTGATCCAAAATTTTGAACTTTAAAAAAAATTGCTGTTTCCTAATCTGTGGTATTAGTTTTATGTTCTTAAAAAATCTTTTGTTGAAATTTAGAATCTAAATATTGGAAAAAGCATGACACGATAAGCAATGTAAGAACAATTCTTGAAATAACCTTTTTTCTCTCTTCTAAAATTGTTTTACTTTCTGGACTTCGACATGTAGAACTGCTTGCCGACAAAATACATTCTTTGAATTCGCTCTTGCGACAGCGTGCATTTGGAAGAGACTATAACTGTTAGCGCTAAGAATTTTTATTTGTTTTGTTTTTGTTTTATTTAATCAAATGACTGCACGTCAACATCATGACGGTTTTCGAAAAAGAAAAAAGGACAAGTAGACAAGCAGACAGAGACAACAAAAGGAAAGTAGAGTAGCATCCCCAAGTTGAAAAAAAAACAGCAACAAAAAACAAACAAACAAACAAACTGCCAGGGTCACACATTAATAATTGCAGCTTGAACTGATTTAACGCTATGGGGAAAACGGGTTACATTTTTCTTGCTGCCATGATCAGTTGTTTGATTTGTTCCTTTTTTTTTATCGACAAGGACTATAGACACACCTTGATGGCATAGTCAAAACAGCCTCACTTAGACAGAAAGACAGTAGTCCACGTGAACAATTTTAAAGAAACACCCTTTTCTTTCTGGAAAAAGTCTACAGATTGCTGGTTGCTACTACTGCCCTTTTTTCCTCCTGTAATCATCATCAAATTATTATGTGATAATTGTTACTTTTTAATCAAGCAAGATTCGAACAAATTATACATTGCCTCACGTATTTCCATATTATTTTTACCCTAGGTGTGAACGGCCCTTCCGATGATCTACCGTCCTCTAAGCGCATGCGCACAGCCTTCACCAGCACCCAGCTCCTAGAGCTAGAGAGAGCTTTCGGTACCAACATGTACCTGTCTCGTCTGCGCAGAATCGAGATAGCCACCTGCCTAAATCTCTCGGAGAAACAGGTGCGTCTACTGAACCTCAATGTGCTATGAATTTTATTACCGAATCGCTCTGATTCCACAAGAATGCTTTCACCCATGTCCCACACATTTTTGTGTTCTATGTCATTGCTTTTTGTCAAGAATTATGTTCCTGTCGCTGTTTTCTTCTTCTTCTTCTTCTTCTTCTTCTTCTTCTTCTTCTTCTTCTTCTTCTT